CATAATTGACTGCATTATACATTTACAAATTAACTTTTGTTGCTTTCATTAATTGTAGCTTGTTGAACATATATTTTTTTCAATTTCACAAACTTATTGAAATATTTTAAAATATAATATTTTTAGAAAAAGGATGAGAAAATGTTAAGTTTAACTTAATCTGTATTAAAAAGGTACTAATGGTATTTACCCATTACTTATCCACAAGGCGGGATGTGGCACAAGGTCGTTTTTTACATAGGGTTTTCTGAGCCCGTAAGCCTGGGCAAAAATTCCCTGTAGCTGTTAACTCCTCCAGACGAGTCTCTACTCTTCGGCATAGCCTCATCTGAGTTCCTCCCTACCCTACTCTTCGGCATAGCCTCATCCGAACTCCTCCCTACCCAAAGGCAGAGAGTTTGACAAAATAACTAAAGGTACTAACTGGATACTTAGAGATGTTAGTAGCAATTAGGTAATAATATATTAGTCTTCATCTACATTATATGTACTCAATTCAATAATTATCCAGTTTATACAGTTTATATTTAACTCCGTGGCAACACTAGGTCATCAATGTTTGTTAGGCTCATTTTACAAAATATACTATTGGTATAACTTAGATGCTAAAACGATTCTTTTACTCTAACTAAAATATATAAATTTTAAAAATCTTTGTGCATGAAATTAAAAAACACATTTTGGTATTTTAATATTAATTGTAATAATTAAACAAAAAAAAATTACATGTAAGAAAAAAGAGTGAAGACAAAGCCAGATAGTTTTTTTTTTTTAAATAACATGTATATTTATCTTGAGTGTGTGTTTGTATATATGTCTATGCGTTAGTGTGTTTACATATCTCTTTATCTGTGAAAATTATTGTACATTTATGATCACTACTGCTGACTGATATCATATTTCCTCAACACTACCCCAATCACACTTAATTTAAGGTTGTGCTAAATTTAATTTGCTCTTTCTCAAAAGATATATTCTGCTAAAAAACCTTATACTGTACAAATGAATTATTTAAAATGAACATTTAAAGACAATAAGTCGAAATAAAAATGTATTCTTTGAAAAACAGGGAATTAGAGATTTTCAAAAGATTATTTATAAAATTTAAGCAAGAAATACATTGCCTATTTGTATGTCTCCAGCTTTGATCAGGCTCAGAGCTACTCAGGCTGAGTAGCAATGCTAATTTTATTTCATTCTATTTTTTACATTCTTTCTTTGTTTTTTATTTTCTTCTTTCTTCCTTGTTATGAGCAATATCAATGAAATGTACTTCAGTCAGTATTTAACAGTCAAATTCGGATCCAGCTGAAATCAAGAATGAAAACAATGCACTATGGAAAAGTTTTTGTTGCTTTGAAACAGATATACTTGAATGTTGACTCACTCAAGCTAAGCCCTACAAGCCTGAACCCCAGAGTCACCACTGATTTAACTGCATTCCCTCCACAAAATATAATTGTTTATTCTATTATTAAAGTTACATGTAATATTACTAACATTGTTTTACAAAATTCTGCTCATGTTAATTGAATAGTTATAAGGAATAAACATTGTCATCTTGTTTAGATATAATTTAAATATGATATATATCTTTGAATTTCAAATAGACCAGCCAGGATGAATATTGGCAATTCCATTCACCCAATTTATTCTAACCACCCCATCTATTTGAAATCCAAGTGTATTCATATTCAAGTGTTAATGTGAATTGTCAAGTGTTAATGTAAATAAGAGTTGATGAATAAATATTTTTTTAAAACATTACTGAAATATTTAGAATTATTGTTTTTATTTACATCTTGAAGGCATTGTTTGCCATTTAGAAACTGTCTATAAGATTGTCTGGACAAGTTTCCAAAGTTACCCTCATTTCAAATGTTTCAAATAATTCCACTTCATCATATTTTGAGTAATTTATTTTGAAAACAATTACATCAAGGTTATAGTGCAATGAAAATATTCTTCCATCTTTTATGTAGTTTTTCTTCTACATGAATAATGTCAATTTTCATTTTTTTTTTTCTGTAGGAGAAAATTTCTGCATACCTGCAAATTTTTCTAATATACAAAATGGAATCTCCTCACATCAACAGAATAATAATAAATTTGAAATAATTTGAATCCCTTGAAATGTATTAAAAAACTACATACAGAAGAGCTCTTTTTGTTTATATTATATATTTTAATTTTATTATAAATTGTTGTGTCGGAAACCTACCACCCCTCTAGAAGATGAACTTGTCTGCGTCTGTGAACAAAGACTTTAAATAGTGGCATGTCAGTTGACATGAAAAAGATAGATAGACAGAGAAGTTCTTAGCTGAGCTAGTTATTGACTACTCAGGTGATTTCTGTACCTTTTTACCAACCTATTAAAACCCTTTTTATTGTTACATGTTATTTGACGTTTGTCTCTACTAACCCCAAATCAACATCATAACACAAATCTGTTATCTTGAATTTCATCCAAGAAAGACATATATATAATGATTAATTAATAGATATTTTCTTTTTGCTTTGAGCTAATGTTTGAACAAGAGCAATTAAATCCAAAGACATTATTTTAGCATAAATATGAAACATCTTTTGAAATTACTCAAAAGGTAACATAATCCCAGCAATTACTGGTAATATGAACAAAACATTTTTCAGTGCCTTGATTAATTAAAAAGCCAACTTGCAAATTTTACTATATTTTAGCATTTGTGTGTGTGTGTGTGTGTGTGTGTGTTTTTTTTTTTTGTATGACTAAAGAAAATGTTGTTGAGAAATAAAATTGCAAAAGGAGTATTATCAAGATATGAAATAATCTACAAATTATTTTAATTTTTAACTAAATGTCTAAAAGATTTTATTTGTGTGTGCTTGTGTTGAGCTCCCATTATTGGTTCAATACAACAATTCTATTTCTTTTTAGAGTTTGTATAAAAGCTACATACTCACATTTATTCTTTGCTAAATTTTCTATAAAGATCATATATATCTTAGAAGTTTGTCTTGTATGAACAATTCTTTAACTACCCACAAAAGACTAATGGCTAGACGACGACTATGCCATATTGTTCCAAACCTTTATCTTATAATGTTTATTTACTACTTAGTCATTAGTAGTAGTTATTTTACAATATCTTTATTTACAAGATTCCTGAAAAATAGCTATTACTGCTATGCACTGAAAGATCTTGGTCTATCCTAATTAATGTAGTATGAGGTGTGATTAAAATGTATTGGGACAGATGCTATGATAACAGAGCTAAAGTACACAGTGAAACTACTTGGCACAGATTGACCTTGAGTTGTCATGCATACACACTGTTATGTTTGCACTCAGATCCATTTTTTATAGTAATGCATGGAAGGAAAGTGTATAGAGTGTGATCATCTCACCTCATCACACCACAGAAGAGACTCCATCAGTGACCTTGGCTTGTGCAGCAGTTTTTGGCCATGTACAACATTTCCAAGGTATGACAATTACCCTAGTCTCCATATCTCACCACCTGCAACTTTTTCCTCTTCAAAAATCAAATCCCACTTGAAAGGAACAAGACATTGAAGAAATCCAAGAGAAAGTGACAAGGCAGCTTCTCAATATCCCAAAAAAGGAGTTGCAGGAATGCTTTCATCAGTGGAAATGATGCTGGTTAAGGTGTGTGGCTTCAGAAGTGGACTACTTTGAAGGAGATTAAATGCAGTATTGATGAGTAGTTTTCTTTTTATAGTACCAGTCCTGATACTTTTTGATCAGACTTCATATATTATTGAATATACAATGAGATATAAATATATATATGTGATTGTTTAATATTTAAAACAAGTATCAAGAATTAAAATTATTTCACAATTTCATCTTGGTGTATGATATAATGGAATATGCATACACCTAAGTTCCCCCTCACTGGAATATGATTGGCTGGTGTCCGTCATAAATACAGACGGATGTGTAGGTACAACAGAGTTTAAGTCTATGACGATGCCCATTGGACTACGCCATTGACTTTTGATATTGCAAAATCATTGTTTCTTAATTTTCCCTGTAAGTATGCGCATTCATTTTCTCTGCTCTTATTTTCCATATTAGATTGTTTCCTTTTCTTTAGATATGTGTCATTATTACACTGCATTTTCACTAAGTATACTATTCTCGTTTTCATCAAGTCTGTACAAAACGATATACAAATGTCCATGCTTGCTTTTGTTCAAAACATATGATATTTTTATCTTTAATACATAATTCATTTGCTTTTCAGAATATTTAACTAATAAATAGAAAAATATTTTGTTTCTCCAAAAACCTAAAAGATATTTTTCCATGCACAGATGGATGTAGCCAGGATTAAAGCAATAGTTAACTTAGTCATTTACTAGTTGTAACATAAACAATCCATGGGCATAGTTTCAGTAAAATAAGAAAACCAGCAAATCAGGATTAAGGATTCAATGATTCAATCAAACAGAAGATCAAGAATCTAAAATTTTGATCAAGTTGAACCTATTTCTACCTATATAAGCAGAGAAGAATTAGCAGTTAGACAGTGTTATAGTGATGATGGAGAAAGCAGCCATACTGCCAGATCAGGGATGATGCATTTGCATGATACACTGGTGCCATAAAATTCCACTCACTACTCCCAGACAAAGAATTCAACATGATAACTAATGCCCTGCTGATAGATAATTGGATTTATTTGTAATTACAAGCTTTGCATACTAAAACCAAATATACTCTCAAAAGCTTTCATGTGTAATTTATGGCCACTGCTTGCCATTCCCACAAGGAACTATTTGCTCTGAAAGACTCATCCTTTTTTCCACAGCACCAGTGTTCTGCCTAATAATTAGTTGTTACTGTTTATTCTATAAATCCATGTTTATATTTTTGTAGTTAGAAATGTTGCTATCTTAGCTATGGTTTGTTTCATTGGCCTATCACACCCTCTACAAATACATAAGAGTAAGAACATTAAAAAAAATATTTTATTTTCTTGTTTTTACAGATGATGAATCTGATCCTGTTTGTTTTGCTTCATTTAATTGTTTCTGGTATGTCATTCTTTTATATTTTTTAATATCACACAAATATATGCTTAAATTTGAAAAAAATTAAGTCTATCAAAATTTTCTGTATTATCATTGCATTAAGGAGTAAGTAATTTTGAGAGGAAAATAACTGAACCACCCAATTTTAAAATCACTAGAGTAGTGAAGATTGTTGCAGTTGAAAGTTTGAACAAAGACAAGTTATTAACACTTTCTCTTTTAATAATTCAAATAATTCTTTTCTATTTGAAAGATAGAAATGGTTTCTCATTTCTAATTTACTATCTACATATTGTTTATAAGTTTTTGCAATTTATTTGTTTATATCAGCAAAAAAGATTATCTTTTAGGTCTACTTTCAAGAGATAGATTAAATTTTGAGGTAAAAGCTGAGATTTTAAAAAGTTTCTAGAATATTCATTGCAGTTAAACATTAATACCTATCATATTATCTTTGTATAACTGTTCTATGTTAAATGTTTAATTTTCTCTGTTTTTAATAGCAACAAAACTGTATTCCTTAATCATCCAAGATTGTATTTTCCAGTCATTAAGTCTATAAAATAAATCTAATTTACTCAATCTCTAGTGCTATTAAGACAGTCATCTTTAGCATATGTATAGGAAACCTACAACACCACTTTTGTTTTGACCAGCATCAAATATGGAAGCACCTAATGGCCATTATTGTTCATTTTTTTTATCTCTCCTGAGTACTAGTTCTTACATGGTATTAATTTCCACATTTCAATCCATATAATTTTTGTCAATCTCATATCTACTATCCATTTCATTTTATCTACTGTGTATTTCCTTCCTTTTTTTCTTTAACCACATTCCAAAGGGGGTGAAGATCTCCCATTTTCCTCCACATGTGGTTTACTATGCCTGATTTGTTTCATCTCAAATTATAGATTTTTACATGGTCCTACTAAATTATAGTTATACTAGTGTACCCATGCTGTCAAAATTGACAGCAAGAAGGAATGTATTATAAGTAATATGTATTATATTGCAAGTAATTTTCACTTAATCCAAGTGCAATTTTTTTTCTGTGTAATAATTGGGTGGAAGTGTGTAAAATAATGATAACCCACCCTCCCAAATTCAAGTTATATTTGTTTTTGAAAAGAAGAAAGAATTTTAGTTAAATAAAAATTATGAGAGACAGAGATGCGTTACAGGCAACATTAGTCAAATTTAACTGTATTTTATTTCCTTTTCAGAAGCAATTAGGAAGAAATAAATATAATTTATATAAATATGTGAAAAATAATGAAATGTTGTTGTCTTTTTCTTTTTCGTTTTTTCAAAAACAATTATAATTTGAATTTGTCCAGGTGGGTCATCGTTTGTATGAAAGAGTCTGCGTGTGTGTACATACTTCTTAGTAGTAACAGGGGATATAAGAATTAGAATTTAGTTCTTATTGTGGACTGTTCACCGTTGTTTGGGACAGTTTCTTTGTAGTTTTCAGTGTGGTAGCTTTTTGTGTGTGGACATATATGAGGTCTTGACTTATGTGTGTCTCATCTCAAAAATTTGCACACTGCACCTCAGTTGTTACACACACACACACACACACACACACACAAAAGAAGCTTATATCTATGTGTGTATGCATGTGTGGTGTATTATATTTGAAGATTCCTTATCAGAATCACATATACTTGGTTTTTATAAAACATGTTGGACTGTTGATATTATACCAACTACAAAGTCACTTTATCTTTTCTTCTAAACCTGCAATAGAATTGTAATGACGATTTATATCATTTTTTTATTAATAAAAGTTCATTGAGATTTTAGTAACTGTAGCTAAATTTTGGCATTATAAATTGTAATATTTGCAAAACAAAAAACATTTATCTTTTGGAATAAAAAAATGGGTTTTACTACTTTTGTAACTAAAATTTCTTTCTAAATCTTTTGTACTCTGTAAATTTTATAAATAAAATTAGTCACCTGGGTGTATACATATTTTACAAAATCAAGTCAGTCACTGGAGTTCGTTATTGAAATTAACTTTGATTGATAAATTTGTTAAAAATCTTTGTTGATGAAACTTCACCTTTGTTGACTAGAACTCAAATATTTAGATTTTTAAAACAAACAATTTACAAGATAACACAGATATCTTAAAATCAAATTACACACACACACACACACACACACATACATATATATATATATATATATATATATATAGATATAGATAGATAGATTTGGTAATAAATTATAAATTAATTTGTTTTATTCATGTATTCTGAAATACTCCTAATTAACAGGATTATTTCGAAATAGATATAAATACAGATATTAATTCTCATTCAAAAAGAGAGAATAAAAAAGATAATAATGCATGAATTCAGAAAAGTTTTGGATATGGAATTTTGAGATTGTCAAACTTGTAAATCTTTTTTTGATATTTTTCTTTTTTTCATTGCTTTCTTTGTATTTCAGTGCAGTCAAAAATAACTGCTAAGAATAAAACATTACTAATTAAAGCAGGAGACCCATTTACACTTCAGTGTGATGACCCTTCAGCAAAATGGAAATTAAATGAGAAGATTATATCTAACTGTGAAAATTGTCATTCATCCAAATGTAATATTGATGAAGCTTACAAGAATCGAATTACTGCTTTTTGTAGACAAGGATATTCTGTACTTCACTTCAATTTAACTCAGATTGGGGATAAAGGATCTTTACAATGTCCAGAATCTGATTCTACTACTTTCCAAATTCTTGTAGGAAGTAAGTATATTTATATTTTATTCTCATTTAGATCAAACAACCCATTGCTTAAAACCAAAAAGAAATTTTGCTGAAAGTAGATTATTATATTTTTTTATTCATGACAGTATCTTTATTCATCTCTTTTTTGTCTATCTTATTTCCTTATAAAGACTGCTTGAGAAAATCTGAACTATTTTAAGTATATTTATGTTTTATTTACATATCAATCAGACAACACTTTATTAATAAATCAAACAAAAAGGTTTCTTGCCAATTGTAGACTATTCTTTTCCATTTTCCACTGCTTTTTTCCAATTTTATTTCCTTGGAAATACTGCTTGAGAAAATCTGAAGCATATGTAATATATTCAAATTATTCATTTATTATAAAAAATCACCAATAATTGATCACAAAAAGAAAAATATCATGTCTACCTGATTGCTTTTCATCTATCAAATTAAAAAGGAAAACCTTGTTGCAGTTCGTGTGAAGTTATTTGAAGAAATTTAGGGGGTTGAATATAGGTATATAATGAAGTCTGGTGATATAGAAATAGAAATCTGTTACTAAAATTAGATACTAATATTCAAAAAATGGTATTAGTTTCAATGACAAACCACTAATCCTTTTTAACATTTCAAAACAAAGCATAAATACGTAGAAATAGTAATATTAAAGTCATACACTTCATATATGACCAGTTTATACTTTCAGGAAAAAATTCAAGAGTAAAACAAAATATCTGGCTGATATCTGAATCTTGATTATGTAGATTGTTTCAAAGTGTCTCGATATTTTAGTGGGGGGTGAATTATTTTCCACACTACAACCTCTTTCTACCAGATGAAATGTCACAAGCCTCTCACTACTCTATCTCTATTTTCATGGAAAGTGTTCAAACTAAATCCCTTAGTTCCACGAGTACTAACCTTCATGGCTATGACTATTCATGCCATGCATATTGTAGCAAACCATCATTCATATTCCATTTGTGAGATGTAAGTTCTGCTCTAGCATCTTCTTCCTATGAACCATTCCTTTGTGAAGCTGACTCCCAAGAAAATGTTTCTCTGATCACTACAATCTTAACTTATTCAAGTTTAGGGTTAACTGTTATCTTCCTACCATATCCCCTAAACTATACCTTCTACTCTATAAGCCTCTACTTTGAGTAACTCTTGGGCCTTGTACAAAGTGAAAATTGAGAACACAAGTTTAAATAGATAGAAGACAATTCAATGTAACATTATGTTGCATGTACTAAATTTTAATATTCACATTTCTTTCATACATTGAAAATATTAACATTTGAACATTTTCCATGGAAATAGTGATGGAATAATGATAGGTTTGCAATGCTGCAGAGGGGAAAATACCCTCCCCGCCACACACACACACACACACACACACAAATCTGCATCAAAGATTTTGAACTCTATCAAGGCTTGAAGTGAAAATTGTGCAACCCCAGGTCAAATATGACAACACTATACTATTTTTTGATCTAGTTTGACTCTTTAAAAAAAAAACATACCAGGAATCAGGTACTTTCTGGAGTGATAGAATGAACATCTTTAGCAATGTCGCGCATATGTGAGTTCCTGGAGTGAACTTGAAACCCAAATCAAAGCATTGAACACCATGGAAATTTCAACTTTTCATAGTGTCTAGAGAATACTCAGCTGGGTTTTTGAGCTATTGATAAGTTATAAACCAGTTTCCCCATTTAGCTAGGTCAGAGGCTTGATTTTTAGAAGTGCTTCCATAAACTGGTATCATCTCCATAGTTGTTTAATAATAATCAGATGTTCCTAGAAAGCAGAAATAGAATATGACTGAGGAGAGAGCCTTGGGAGATGCATTTCTTGATCTCATGAGCTTCAGAAGACTGGCCATTTACAACATCATTAATGAAAGACATTCATAGAGATTGTGCTAACCATAGCATACTTTTTGAAAGTGAGCTCATGGACAAGAGAAAGAACATGGACCCTATGAAGGTACCCACAGGGATGTGCACCAAATTTATCTGATCTTTGATGGTCCTTAATTGGGATTTTCCTAATATGAAAATAAGTGCAAAAACCCAAAAAGTGAATAGTAGGAATAGATAACTTGGCTTGAAAACAAAAAAAAAACCCTTTACTTACAAATAGGTTCAATATAAAACAGAAAATGTTGCACAAAATATTACTAAAGAATAGATACCTCCACAGATTTGTGATGTCTAATGTTTAAAATGAATTTTAAAAAAATGATAAATCTTTCTTGAAGCTTTTTTTTTAGTTTTAATGTCAATTTAATAGATATATTTAATATTTCTAACAAGCAAAATACTTTGCTGTATTTTTTTTTTTTTTGTATTTTATATTTTGTGGGGAAGTGTATTTGTTTTGTGAGCTGGATATAATGCTCTGGGACTCTGTGTAGAGAGTGACGTTTTATTTTTAATTATCCTTTTGTAGCATTCACATCCAGCTAACAGGTTTTGATGTGGAATGAATCAGAAAGAAATCTAATTTGAAGTGGAGTATAACAGCTCCCTAAGATTTCATTCTGATTCATGGATTTGGAATGAATACAAGTAGAAAGGATGTATGTATTTATGTCAATTTATTGTATTTGCACTGTTGAGATTAGTGTATTATTAAGTTTTGTATGTTGGGAGTGTGTTGTGCAAATGTGGAGGTCGGGTGTTCATATATTGTAGATGATTCAATCATGGTACATGGCAATGGACACAAGTATGATGGACTCAGTAGGTTTTGCCATTTTGATTTCTCACCTGAAATACCATGTCATTTATCTTGGTGATTATAAAATTACCGACTAAAGGTAAATGTGATGAATGAAGTAGGACCATCTCTCTGACCTGTATTAAGTCTTTGTAGATGCATTGGTAGACTTGTCTCAGTGGAGCATTTATATGCATGCTGTAAGCTCCAGGGTCATGATTAGTGATGTCTTCTTGTGCTAGTTTGGGTAAACCAATATTAGGGTGATGACATAGTATAGTGATGTACTAGTTGTGGCATTCATGTAGGAGACTATGAATTCGAGAATGTCAGTCCATTCACAATTCCTGTATTTTCACATGTAAAAAGCATTTTTCATTGGGTGGTGTTATCACTCAGTGTTACCTGAGCTTTGTGTTTTCTAGGGACAATGAAGTTTCCTTATGATCAACACTAATTCACAAAAATATCTGTAGGTCTCACCTGTGAAATGTGTTCCACAATTGGATGATGCAATGAGAATGTAAGCCCTTATACCACAGTTCTTTAACTCTCACTCAGTAATTGGAAAGATGTTCATGCATATAGGAGACACCAGAGTGGTTTGTGCAACCATGAGTTTGATAGAGATATCTGGCATGGAGTTTATAAGGCACAACCAGTTTGGACATGATCCTTGATTTTCAAGCTGGGGTGCTAGGTTCCAAATAAGATTGATGGAGGTGCTTTTGGAAGTGTGGAGCATGGTGGTCACTGTGTTTTAATTTTGTTGGCTTTAGGTGATTCATTTGAATCAACTGCCTGGGGGGCCTTGATAACATTTCATTGGATGCCTGTTCAGTGGCAATGTTGAGATGATTGATAATTGTCTTTGTGGGGATGGTTGAGGTGGCATGATAGGCAAAGAATGCTTCAATAATCTGTGGCATCAGGTGTTGCATGGTGTGTGTTCAAAATGATGTTCAGTGAACAGAAATGGGTGGTTGCAAGGGAAGTAATCAAATTTAGATATGACCCATTTTATAGCAAATACTTCAGTTAGTGATAGACCAGTTATGCTCAATTGGCTGAAAGTATGAGGTGACTGCTATGATCATTTTCCATCCATTTTTGGTTTCTTGCATGAGGATGGCTCTGCATGTGATGTCACTGGTATCAGTGGTTAATGTGAAGAGGCCAGTAAAGTTAGAAAATGAGATCATTGGTGAAGAGAAGGACTTTTTGATTTTTTTCAAAGGCCCTATTCACTCTTTCAGTCCAGACAAATAGTTTACTGACCCTGTTAAGTTTGTGTATAGGGGGCCATCAGGATACAGAACTTGTCTGTTCAGATTCATTTCTGTTGATGGATTTCAAAGAATTGTTGGATCCAAACGAGATGTCTGATGAGGTATTGCAGCTCTTTTTCTATTGTTGGAGGTTTCATTTCGACAATAGTGTGAACATATTCAGGGTTGGCTTGGATCCTACATTGTTTATGATGTGACAAAAATTTTGCCTTAGTAGTAAGGAAAGTGCACTTTTCCAGATTCAGTCTCAATCTAAATTTCTGGAAAGCAATGAAGGGATGCTCCAGTGCAATCATGGACTCCTTAAAAATTTTGGCTAAGACAAGATTGTCATTAATGTAGGATGATATTCTTACCCATGAGGTGATGGTACCAAGGCATCTGCACTGCATTAGGAAAATATCTGGCTGAATGCTAGATGAGTGTCTTGTTAGCATCAAATCTTCTAATGAATGTAGTTTCATCATCGTCATACTCATCACTGACAATCTGCCAATAACAATTGCAGAAGTTGAGAGATAGAAAGTATTTTTTTGCCTTTGCCAATTTTGTTGAATATCTAGTCAATTGTTGGTAAAGGTCAAGATATGCAAGCAGCTTCTTGAGTCCTCTTGAAGTTGGTGACAACACAGATTTTGCCATTGTTCTTGTAGAATGTAAAGACTAGGCTGATGAATCCTTTTGGATCATCATAAGGTTCAGTGATCCCTTTCATAGTCATATGAGTAATTTCAGTGTCAACATCGGCTTCTAGTGTGACTGGTTTAATGCATAATATGTAACTGATGAGCAGGTTTGCTGTAGGATCTAGTCCATTACAATGAGACTGATTGGGGAGAGATAACCTCACATTTCACTTCAGCAAATCTAGATTTTTGCTTAATATCTGGTCATCAAGGGAAGATTTTGCTGTAAGTTGGACTTCATTACTTGCAATGGTTTGGGCTTAATGTGCAGAGTTGTAGGTGGGAAGCGTATCCAGGTTGGTGATTG